TCCATCCTTCCATCCATTCATCCATCCACCCACCATCCTTCCATCCACCCACTTACTCATTCATCTATTCTTCCATTTGTTTTTCCATTCATCCACCCACATATCCTTCCATCTATCCATCCGTCTATCCTTCCATCCATCCCCTCAGTCTTCCATCTTTCCATCCATCTATCTATCCTATCCTTCCATCTTTCCATCCATGCATCCATCCATCCATCCTTCCATCTTTTCATCCATCCTTTCATTCACTCATCCATCCGTCCATCTATCCATCCACCAATCCATCCGCCCATCCATCCTTCCATTCACCCATCCATCCTTCCATCCATCCACCTACCCATCCATCTGTTCTTCCACTTATCTTTCCATCTATCTTTCCAACCACACTTCATTCCATCCATGCATCCATCCATGCATCCATCCATCCTTCTATCCATTCTTCCATCTTTCTCTCCATCTTTTCATTCACTCATCCATCCATCCATCCATCTAACAATTCATCTGCCCATCCATCCTTCCATCTTTCCATCCATCCCTCCGTTCACCCATCCATTCACACATCCATCCTTCCATTCATCCACCTACCCATCCATCTATTCTTCTTTATCTTTCCATCCATCTATCTACCATCCTTCTATCCTTCCTTCCATTCATCCATCCATCCACCATACTTCCATCCTTCCATTCATCCATCTAACAGTATTCAACAATGTCTTTGTTGAACATCCATTCTACCAGTCTGTCAGCAATCCAGTAACATTCAATTGTTTGATATCCAACATCCATTAATTCATCCTTCCTTGCTTCCTTTCATTCATGCATTGATCGACCTATCCATCCATCCACACACTCATCCATCCATCCACCCATTCACCCATCCACCCATTCATCTATCCACCAGCCCTTTCTTCCTTCCTCTCTTCCTTCCATCCATCCTTCCATTCCTTCCATCCATCCGTCCATCCTTCCCTCCATTCATCCACATATCTCCCTTCTCCTTCCCTCCTTCCCCTCCTTCTTTCCTTCCATTAATCCCCAAACTTATAAATTCAAAGTGATTTTCTTTTTTTTTTCAAAGTGATTTTCTAAAAACATCCCCAACTCTAATTTTCAAACTCAAGAGTCCCTATAATCTCACGGATTAAGTCCTGACTTCATCTCCTTTCTTGAGGAAACCCATTACAACCCATCTCAAACTCAGTCTAGGTACACATCCTCTGCCCTCTCTGCCTCTGTCTACAACCTATGCATGCTTTTCTCCATGCCCATTACCAGTCTATGATCGGGCCACTCAGCTCCACCCATGCCCACACCCCAACCCCAATGCCAACTAAGGCCCATCCCTGTCTCTGTCTCCATCTCGCTCCATCAGCCCAGTCCATCCTCAGTCCCACCCCAGCTCCCTGCCTATCCAGGCTTTGCTTTGAAGGATTGGGTGGATTAGGGTTGCAATTAGGCAGGGAACTGTATTGGAAATTAGAAATAGAGAGGTTTTTGGGGGCGCTTAGGGTGGAGCTGGGTTGGGTGGCCCTGGTTTGGGAGTCAGGGTTGGAGATGGCGATGGGGCTAGGGACAGAGTCAGACCAGGACAGGCGGCCCCAGCCTCGGTCTCCCCTTGCCTCACCCTTTCCTGTAGTATGCCGCTGAGGTCCCCACAGGGCGCATACTCCTGGGCGAAGGCAAAATACCGGGGTGTCTGCAGGGGATCTTCCAGGGTCTGCAGCAGGCCTGGATGTGAGGAGACGCAGCGGCCCACGCAGAACTCCCTCAGGAAGGTGGTTCTCAGGACTGTGTCCCGGCGAAGGAGCTTCAGAGCCACTGCTGGACCTGCCGGGGAGACGGGGTCAAGGGGAGTATAGGCGGCTCTCCATCCATCCACATCTCCTCTTCCCCTCTCCCTTCCTCCTTCCCTCTCTCCCTCTCTTCCTTCAATCCATCCACCCATCTTTCCATCCACTCACCTATCTATCCACCAGTCCTTCCTTCCTTTTCATCCATCTATTTGTTCTTTCACCCACCCATCCATCTGTTCCACCAATCCATCCACCCATCCATCCATCCACCTCCCCACCCATCCATCCACCCTTCCACCCACCCACCCATCATCCATCCATCCATCCATTCATCCATCCATCCATCCATCCATCCATCCATCCATCCATCCATCCATGCATCTATCCATGCATCCATCCTGTGGGATCTCTGGCAAGCTGCTTAACCTCTCTGGGCCTCAGGCATCTCGCGGGCAAAACAAGTCTCTCCATATTCAAAGTGTGGGTTGGAAGAGACCTTCCCTGAAACTTCTTTCTACCCTGCCTCAGACTGTTGTGCAGTCTTGCACAACTGCCTTACCATTTCTGGACCTCAGTTTCCTCTTGCATGAAGTAAGGGACCTGGCAGTGGCTTGGGATCCAGACCAAGTTGCACACCTGCCTTGCTGTGGGAGCTTAGGCAACCACATACCATCTCTGGGTGACACTTCTGTTCCCCAGAAGGTCCCAGAACTCTCAGGAGTCCCCATGAAGAGGGGTCGCCATCAGCTCCTCCTGGATCCACTCCCTGCCTAGGTGTCCTCCAAGAACCTTCTCATGAGGCAGTTTGGGCGTCTGCCCTTGGGTGGCCGAACTCACCCCCTTGGCAAGGCCGGGCCAGGAGCACGCGGCCATAGGAGCCAGAGCCCAGCCTTCTGATGAGGCGATACTGGACTCGAAGACTCCTCACTGGGGTCACCCTGGTGGCCGTCAGCTCGACCAGCCGTTGGAGGGCCGTGGCCGTGTCCTCCTATGGAAGAGGGGTGGGGGGTGAGTGTGGGGTCTTCTGAGAGCAGCTGGAGAGGAGGTTGGAGGCCCAGTCCAGGGCTGGGGGTGGGGGAAAGGCTGGAGACAGGGGTTGCTGTCCCCAGAGAGGACGATGAGTCACAATGACTCACCCAGCCTCGGGCCACCTGTTTTTGTGTCCTGGCGGGGTAGGGGGGTCATTATCTACAAGGCCCTGCCTGGCCCCCTCCATGGGAGTGGGCCAGAAGTCCCCCATCCCAACCTCCTCAGCATCCCAGCAAACACAACCCTCGGCCACCCCCGGGCCTACAGCGCCCTCTCCCCTGTGCACCCCCATCTTTGCTTCTGAGTCCGTCTCTCTGGGGGCCTTGGCCCTGCTATATCTCCTCTGGTCTCTGTGTTCTCTCCCCCTGACTCTGGGTCTCAGGAGTCTTTCTGTGTCTCTCTCCCATTCTGTCGCCCATCCCTCTCTCCTCTCTTTTCCTCCCCTTCTCCATCTCTCACCTCTGGGTCCCCATCCTCGGGGGTCTCGGGGGCCCTGAGCGCCATCTCAAGGTTGCCTGGTGTTGGCTGGGCCCTGGGCAGGCACCCCTCGCCTGGGTTCTCTAAAGATCGCCCACCCCTCGAGCCTCTACACCCCACCGGCTGTAACTCGTCCACCGGCTCAGCCTCAGTCTCCCCGTGTCTGCCTGAGCCCACGTCTCTGACTCTGGGTGCCTTCCTGTCCACCTCCGGTATGTCCCTCTCTGTGCTGTCCACTCCTCTGCTTATAACCGGTTATCCTCTCTTTAACCGATTTAGGTATCCCCTACCCTGCCTCTGCCAGTGTCCTTCTCTCTGTCTCTCAGTCTCTGTGTCTGTCTCCTCGCCCCTTTCCCTCTCTACCCTGCCTGTCTCTGTCTCGCCCTTGGTGTCTCCGAGGTAGAACTCCCTCTTCCCGACCTGTCTGTTGTCCCCACAGGTCCTCCTCCCCACCCACTCTCTTGTCCCCACACGGTCCCCCTCTCCGCCTCTCTCTGGGTCTCTCTGCCCGCTCTCCCCAGTGTCTCTGCGTCTCTCTTCTCCTCTTTGTTCCTGACTCTCTCTCAGCCTTTGTCCCTCCCTTTTTCTGGGCCAGGGACAGGGGTGTGTGTGACAGCGCATAGATAGAGACATCCTGTCCCCCACACCCCCCCACCCTCCGACCGCTGTCCCCTCCCTCTCCCTTCCAAACTTAGACCGGCTTGGACTCTGGGCTCTGGTCCCAGGACAGAGGGGACAAAACAGATTGTGAACCCCCAAGGTCCAGGCCTGAGGACAGAGGAGCGAGGTGGGACAGACCCCTTCACACACCTGAACTGGGATGACAGGCCCGGAGCTGAGTGCCTCTGACTTCCTCCAGGGGCTGGGAGTGCTGGGGGCCAGGAAGCAGGGACTGGTCTCAAGCGGAGCTCCTTAATGCCAGGAGCCCAGGCCCCAGCCTCTTCCCTCAGACCAGGAGTCCAGGCCCCCAGCCCCTCCTCCCTCAGACCAAGAGTCCAGGGCCCCAGACCTCCTCCCTCAGACCAGGAGTCCAGACCTCCAGACCTCCTCCCCTCAGACCAGGAGTCCAGACCCTAGCCCCTCCTCCCTCAGACCAGGAGTCCAGATTCCAGCCCCTTCTCCCTCAGACCAGGGGTTCACGTTCCCACCCTCCTCCGTTTGACCCAGGAGTCCAGGCCCTTAGCCCCTCCTCCCTCAGACCAGGAGTCCAAGCCCCCAGTCTCTCCTCCCTCTGATCAGGAGTCCAGACCCCAGCTCTTCCTCAGACCAGGGGTCCAGGCTCCCACCCTCCTCCCTCAGAACCCGGAACCCAGGCCCCAGTCCCTCCTCCCACAGGACTCGGGGCTCAAATAGCTGACAGATGTCCTGGGGACAGAGGCACGCTCGAGTTCTCAACACCTGCCCCAGCCTGGCCCACGAGGGCTTTACACTGGATCCTCCCAGCCACCCAAAGGTCAATATTTATCCCCAGCGTACAGAGCAGGAAACTGAGGTTCCGCGAGGCGGTCTCCTTACACAAGGTCAGAAGGGGAGCGGGGCCTGGGCCAGGTCTGGGTGACTCAGAGGCCTGCCACCCGCCCCACTTGAGTTTCCACTACTACTCCAGTCCTGCTATTAATAAAGACGCAGCCACCACCGCTAAGGGAGGCTCTGGAAGGATCCACAGGAAGCTGGCAATGGTGCTCGCCACAGCGCTGCAGGCTCCAGGGGGCAGAGGTGGAACTTCCTGGGCTCTCTGGCTTACATCAGATGTTGCAAACTTCCAGAAAAGTGGAAAGACTGCCATGGGGACACCCATCCGTGGGACTTCACAGATGCCACCCTTGTGCCCTCTTCTTTCAACCCTGTGTCTTTGAGGGCACAGGTTATGTTGAAGCCAATGACAACATAGGGACATCTTTTTGGGTGGTAGTGATACATTGCCTGGTATGTCTGCTTTAAAATAGTCCAGGTGGGCCAGGCGCGGTGGCTTGTGCCTGGAATTCCAGCACTTAGGGAGACCAAAGTGGGAGGATCGCTTGAGCCCAGGGGTTTGAGACCAGCCTGGGCAACTTGGTGAGACCTCGTCTCTACAATATATTTTTTTAAAAAAAACAAAAAACAGACATGGTAACATGTGCCTGTAATTCTGGCTACTTGGATGGCTGAGGCAGAAGGATTGCCTGAGCCCAGCAGGTCGAGGCTGTGGTGACTGTGAGCATGCCACTGTACTCCAACCTGGGTGACAGAGTGAGACTCTGACTCGATAAATAAATAAAATAGTCCAGGTGGGCTGGGCATGGTGGCTCATGCCTGGAATCCCAGCACTTTGGGAGGCTGAGGTGGGAGGATCGCTTGAGCCCAGGGGTTCAAGATCAGTCTGGATAGCATAGTGAGACTCCCATCTCTATAAAAATAAAATAAAATAGCCGGATGTGGTGGTTTATGCCTGTCATCATAGCACTTTGGGAGACCAAGGTGAGAGAATTGCCTGAGCCCAGGGGTTCGAGACCATCCTGGGCAACTTGGTGAGACCTTGTCTCTATAATAAATCAAAAAATTAGCCAGGTGTGGTGGTGCATGCCTGTAGTCCCAGCTACTCAGGAGGCTGAGGTGAAAGGATCACCTGAGTCCAGCAAGTCAAGGCTGTGGTGGCCATGAGCATGCCACTACACTCCAGCCTGGGCAACAGAGAGAGACTCTGACTCAAAAAAGAATAAAAATAAACCTTTAAAAAAATAAAATAAATTAGCAAAAGTAAATAAAAGTAAACGTCTGTGAGAGGGTGAGACTTGTGTTACTAACTGAGATCAAGGGGCTTGTTTTATTCCTCTGTTTCTGGTTATGTTTGAAATCTTCCCTCATGAAGAGCTACAAGTTGGTCGGGCGCAGTGTCTCACGTGTCAACCCAGCACTTTGGGAAACTGAGGCAGGAGGATTGCCTGAGTCCAGGGGTTCAAGAGCAACTGGGCAACAGAGCAAGACCTTGTCTCTACAAAAATAAAAACATTAGCTGGGCATGGTGGCATGCGCCAGTAGTTCCAGCTATTTAAGAGACTGAGGCGGGAGGATCACCTGAGCCCAGGAGGTTGAGGCTGCAGTGGTTGTGATCATACCACCGTTCTCCAGCCTGGGTGACAGAGTGAGACCCCAAAACAAACAAACAAACAATAAATAAATAAAAGCTACAAGTTATCAATGAAACTATAGACATCATGATAAACTGTTCCCAGACACTTGAGTGCACATTTCTGTAAGGAAAACTTCCAGCTCCACTACAATACCATTCTCCTACTTAATGACATGACCAATAATTTCTTGAAATCAACTGATAACTAGTGTGTATTCAATTTCTCTCATCTCTCTGCAACCACCCTCCAAGTCTTTACTTGCTTTAGTTGTGTCAGGAATCAAAGCCCCACACAGCTTTCAGGGAACTTGTTATCATTATGCCTTTTGTGTTATTTGGATGTTCCCCACACATGTGTTACTATTTGAAAATTTAAAATAAAATTAAACAAGACAGGGGTGACTCCATGCCCCCTGGGTGCCCGGCCCTGGGTGTGCTTACTTTCTTTCTTTCTCAGTGTATTCAAGACTTTCTAGAGTCCTCCTGACAAGCCCTGAGCAGATTTCCAATTTACTTCTGGGGAAACTGAGGCACAGCCATTGAAAGACAGAGGGGGGACGCGTGAGATCTGGGGACTCAAGGCTGCCTCCGCCACTGGCTAGGGGGCTCCGGGGGGCCAGACTTCAGGTGCCTGACTTGAGCTGAGTCCCCCATGGGCCGGGGGTTGGCAGTTCGTGTCCAGGAGCCACAGAAATATCTGGCACCCTCGAACTGAAAGGTCAGGCAGGAGAGCCGGCCACCTGGATCCCCCGGGCGGGAGTGAGAGGGGACGCTACAGGCCGCCAGCTCCCGTCCTCCCCCAGAGGCTCTGATGATCCTGGGAGCTTTGCACCTCCCCATTTAGTAACGCCACTCTGCGGGGTCACCTGGAGTGACCTTGGCACGTGGGTGTGGGGGGAGGCTCCAGCCTGGCCCTGGGGCACACACCCCCCTCTCTAAGCTGAACTCTGGGCACCCCCTCCTCCTCCTGCCCTCCTGGTCTTCAGCCTACAAAGGCTCCTTTTGTGACCCCCTCCTGGGTTTATCCCCACCTGGCTGGGCAAGTGTCCAACTGCCTCTGTGCCTCAGTTTCCTCCTATATAAAATGAAAGTAGGCCAGGTGCAGTGGCTCATGCCTGTCATCCCAGCACTTTGGGAGATGGGAGGATTGCTCAAGCCCAGCAGTTTGAGACCAGCCTGGGCAACATAATGAGACCTCATCTCTACAAAAATTATAAAAATTAACCAGGTGTGGTGGCACACACCTGTGGTTCCAGCTGCACGGGAGGTTGAGATGGGAAGATCGCCTGAGATCAGCAGGTAGAGGGTATGGTGGCCGTGAGTGTGCCACTGCACTCCAGCCTGGGCAACAGAGTGAGACTCTGACTTAAAAAAAAAAAGAAGGAGGGCTCATTGGCTCAGCCTGTAATCCCGCGCCTTTGGGAGGCTGAGGTGAGTGGATTGCTTGAGCCCACGGGTTCGAGACCTGCCTGGGCAGGCGAGACCTCATCTCTACAATAAAAAAAAAAATTAGCCAGGCGTGGTAGTGCACGCCTGTAATTCCGTCTACTCGGAAGGCTGAGGCGGAAGGATCGCCGGAGCCCAGCAGGTTGAGGCTGCGGTGGCCGGGAGCAGCCACTGCACTCCAGTCTGGGCCACAGAGTGAGACTCCAACCCAAAAAAAGAAAAAAGAAAAGAATTTGCAACATCAGATGACTTTGTTTTGTCTGGGGAGGGTAAGATTATAAACTGGTAAACCAAAATCTCAGCCCTTAACTATCCTCGCGGTGCAGTCAACCAGCCTTTTGTCAGCAGTGAAGCTGGGCTACTTTCTCCCGTTTTGAGTCAGGAATGCTGTTTTCTCTCTATTATACCAGATATACATCGAACAAATGTTAAATTAAATAATGGATGAAAAAACACAAGCCATCACCCCTAG